CTCCACTGATCTAGTATTCTTGGGAATGAGTTAAGAGTTCCGTGGAAGTGAATTTTTCGGATAATTTATTACCCTTAAGAACCATTTTTAAAAAATTGAACCATTTGAATTGGAAATATTTTTTAAATGTTTCAACATAGTAAAGCTGGGAAGGAAACAGCAGATGACAGAATCAGGATTCAAAGAAATCTTGGCAGGCTAAGAATAGGCCAAAACCAAAGATAACATTTCAGACATCTTGAACTAGATGTCCAGTTAAACTCAACACGTCCAAAACTGAATTCGTTATCTTTCCCCCCAAACCCTCCTCTTTTCCAAACTTCCCTCTCACTACTGAGGGCAGTGGGTGATGACCCTCCCAGTCCCCCAGCCTCACAATCTGGGTATCACCCTCAACTTCTCACTATATCTCACCCCCATATAGAATTGGTTACCAAGGCCAGTAGATTTCACCGTCAAAACTTCTTTCAAAAAACACCTGATGTATAATTCCTCTGACACTGTCACCACCCTGGAGCAGGCCCTCACCACCTCGTGCCTGGACTATTACAATAGCCTACCACCAGTCTCTGCCCACTCCAGTCCATCTTCCGTTCAGCTGCCAAAGTGATTTTCCTAAAGTGCAGGTCCGACCATGTTGCTCCCCTACTCAGTAAACTCCAGTGGCTCCCTATCACCTCCAGGATCAAATACAAAATGCTCTGTTTGGAATTCAAAGCCCTTCATTTCCTATTCCCTTCTATCTTTCCAGTTTTCTTACACCTTACTCCCCAACACATACTCTTCAATTCAGTGACACTGGACTCCTGGCTGTCCCTCAAACACTCCATTTCCAGGCTCCAGGGATTCCCCATGTGCGCAAACTCTCTCTCTTCATCTCTGTCTCGAGGTTTCTTTCAAGTCCTATCTAAAATCTCACCTTCTATAGGAAGTCTAGAATCCCTCTTAATTCTGTTGCCTTCCCTCAGTTGACAGTTTCCCATTTATCTTGTCCATAGCTCCTTCCATACATTTTTACTTGCCCATCAACTCCCCCATTAGATAGTGAGATCCTTGGGGGCAGGGGCTGTCTTTTGCCTTTCTTTGTATCCTCAGTACTTAGCACAGAATTTGAGTAGACACTTAATAAATGCTTGTTGACTGACTAAATGCTCACTGACTTAGTAGGAGGCAATGTGGCATATTGGCACTCATTCTAGGGTGGGAGCCCAAAGTCTCGGTTTGAGTCCCCAGATCATTCTTCCCACAACTTTTTGAAAAGTTCACCCCTTGAGACAATCTTCCTTTGAAGCCTAACCCCTGCCCTTAAACACGAAGATGTCGATATACACAGTCACAGAACTAGAGCTGAAAGAGATCTGAGAGGTCATCTAGTCCAACCCCATCACTTCACATCACCCTGAAAAGTTACATGCCTAACCCAAAGCCACGTAGCAGTAAAGGGCAGAGCTGAGATTCAAGCTCAGTTCCCATGACTATAAGTCCAGGACCCTTTCCACCTGTAAGATGGATATTTGAACAATACCTAGAACAGTGTCTGACAAACAGTAAGTACTTAATGAATTGAATGTGGCCACCAAAAAGACTGACATCATCCGAAGCTACGCAGATAAAAGTTTTGTATCCAGAGGAAAGGAGGCGAGATTTTAGCGTGGTCTAGGCACAGTGCATTACGTATGGCAGGTACTTGATGTCCGCTGAACTGACTGAATTTAACGGTCCCACTGTACTCTGTACTTGGCTGCTGCTGCGTGGGTCAGATCCTATCTGGAGTATTATGTTTGGCTCTTGAGATTACATTTTTAGAGGGACATTGAGAAATGAGACTGTGTCCAGAGGAGGGTCACCAGGAAAGTGAGAAGTCTGGAAATCATATGATATGAGGAGTTACTGTATTAACTATAGTTACTGAAGTTATATAGATATTAATAGTTTATGGGTATTATTATAGATAGTTTATAGAAGAGAAGACATGAGTGGAGGAGGTAAGAAGGGGCACACGATAGTTGTCTTCAAATATTTATAAGGTTCTTATAAGGCAGAGAAATTACATGCAGAAGGCAGAACCAGGACAAATGAATAGAAGTCACATTTGGCTCAATGGAAGGAAGAACTTTTTTCCTCCCCCATTATATTATGCGCTCCTCGAGGGCAGGGACTTTCTTTTGTCTTTCTTTGTATGCCCAGTGCTTAGCATAATGCCTGGCACACAGTAAACACTAAACAAATGCTTACTGATTGACTGGCTGATAGAATCGGGTCTGTCAAAAACCAGGATGAGTTGCCTAATGAAGGGATGAGATCCCCATCAGTGGAAATGGATGCCCACCTATAAAGTATGTTGTAGAGGGCATTTTAGGAGCCATTTCTCTACCTTGTTGACTCAGAAGGAAGTAGTAGTCAGGAGAAGAGAATTACAGATTTGGAGGTTGTGCCAACCAGAAGGTTATAGGATAAATTGAGAACAGAAGAGGCCTCATAGGAAAACAGAAGCAACACACACTGTCAAGTCAGTGTTTTGTTTTGTTGTTTTCTCAAAGGAACCCTGAGCACTTGACCCTGATGGCCAAGAGCACTGGCAGCTCTATTGACAACATATGTAGGGATGATAAGACCCGTCTCCAAGTGACCCAGCAAATTAACAGTGGGGACAGCCAGGAATAGCACACTGGGCTCTGTCCCTAGACCAACCACCCTCACCCTGGTTGCCACATGATTCCATGATGGAGAACCAAAGAACAACCATGGCTTTCATGTGGCTTTTTCAACCTGGCAGTTACTGAGGAGCACAACACAGAAGGAAACGGTCTGACTACCACCTCTGGCAACTCTGGGACTTCAAGAAATGCCCAGATTTAGGAACATGACTATCATTCTTCTTCAGTTTCCAGTTAAGCAGGTTTTCAACTTCCTATCCCTTTTCTACTTTCCAGGACCAGATATCCCAAGTACAGTGATAATCAACAGTATGATGCTATAGCCAAAAGAAAAACAAATGTAATCCTAGGCTGGAATAATAGTCCAGAGAAAGAGTAATAGCCCCACTGACTCTGCCTTAGTCAGACCACATCTAGGATATTGTGTCCAGTTATACCTGTCACATTTTAGGAAGGATATTGATAAACTAGAGAACATTCAGGAAAAGGTGACCAGGAAGGCAAAGGGTCTCCAGGTCATGGGAATGAGTGGAAAGAACTGAGAGTGTTTTGTTTAGAGTAGAGAAGATTCTGGGGCAGGATAGCTGTCTTCAAGCATCTAAAGGGTTGTTATATAGAAAAGAGATCAGCTGGGGAGGGGGGCATGCCTGCTATCTCTGCTATAGGGCAGGCTGAAAGTCATGGATCTCTTGAACTCTTGAGTTCTGAGCTACAGAAGGGCTAAAGTTAAAGGGTGTTGGCACCAGGTCAGAACTATTATGGTGAGCCCCTGGGAATGGGGGCCACTAGGCTGCCTACCGAAAGGTAAACTGGCCAATGTGAAAAACAGAGCAAGTCAAAATTTCAGTGCCAAATTGGCAGTGGGGTAGGGAGTGGCCACTGTGATCTCAGTCTAAGTAAGATAGGGAGACCCAGACTCGCCACCAAAAAAAAAAATGGAGGAAAGGAAAAGGGATCAGACTTTTTCCACCTTACTCCGGAGGATACAACTGGTAACTGAGTAGAAGTTATGTGGAGTAACTCTAATGTAAGAGAATATTTGCTAAGAATAAGATCTACCCCAAGGTGGAATGGGCTGCCGCAGGAGGTAATGGACCTCAACTCTTTCACTAAAAGTCTTTAAGCAAGGGTTGGATGGCTGCTTGTCAAGTATGTAGCAGGAAGGATTCTTATTGAGATACAGGGTGGACCAGATAACCCCTGAGGACCCTTCCAATGGGGAGATTCTGTAAAGGAAATCACGGACATATTCTAAAAAAAAAAATGCTAAATGAAGAAAAATAATGACTGCTATGGTCCTTAGGAGCTCTTCACTTAGCTCAATGTTGTAGAAAGAAAATTCTGACTGAGGTGACTGCTGAAAGTGTTTGTGCAGAGAAGTCCCTTTTCAGTAGAGATTTCACAGAAGGGACCACACCCAACTTTGTTCCTTGCAGAACAATGCCCCTTACAAAGTGGAACACAAAACAAACAAGGAAGGCTAGGACAGCTGCTGCAGAACTCAAGCTTCCAACTTTATCACAGTTCTAACCTCCTCCGTTTAGAACTCTAACTTCTTAAGAAATGCAACCCAACTGGCAAAAAACAGTCTACACACAGACACACAGACACACACACACACGCAGAGCAAAATAATCCAAAAGCAATGATCCTTGGTTGTCTTTCCTCTTGCTTCCTTCCCCTGTAGGACCATCTCATTCTCCCAAGTCCTTCCTTTGCTTCTCTTCCCTTCAGTGAAAGGAATCCTTCCCTCTCCCTCCCCTTACTCTGGAATAACGAGTTAACCAATCCCGGAAGACTCCCTTGAGGTATCGAAATCCCATAGATTAATTATAACATTCTTATTTCAGCCTGATGTCCCCACTTCTACCATGCTGCTCATAACAAATGCTTAATTCAATTCACCACAACATACATTGCATAAAACTAAACGTTTGTCTCCATTCCCTCTGCCTCCTCTTCAGGGCGCCATCATTGATTGAACACCTGCAGCCCCATGGTCTCTCTTTAGTGTCTAGCATGGAGCTGTGCTCTCGAAATATTTACTGACCTCCTCTGCTGCCACATCAATAGATTACCCCTCTCCTTACCCAATGTTCTACACAAAACCTCCTCAGGAAACAGGCATGGGATGACATTGGGAATGCCCATTTCACAGACATGCAGGCCCATGGAGAAGAAGGGACCACACAGTTAACCCTGCTATATTTGGCTAGTGGTAAAATTGGGGGGCAAAACAGAACAGATGTGTATATGTATGTGTTTGTACGTGTGCATGTCAATGGTTAGCTCCTCTTTGTGTGAAACGGGTGAAGCAAGAGAAAGTGGAGGAGACCATCTAACCTGTGTGGGCTTGGACTCTGAGATTAAAGCATCTTCCGTCTCCTCCATTTTGGTGCCCGATGAGGACAGCTTCACCACAGACTCAGAGAGGAAGCCATCATCCAGCAAGCTGACTGAAGACTGGCCAGAGCGGGCCTTTTCCTTCTCAGCACTCAGGGTGGAGAAAGTAAATTTCTCTTGCCAAGGGCCACTGGGTCTTTCCCCTTTGGCCACCTCTCTGTCCTTTGGGACTGATTCTTGCCGGTAATGGCCTGGGGGGACCTTTTCCCCTTTCTCCATGGACTTGATCTGGCTAGGGGTCAGCGACCGGAAATCCGACTCTTGTCCTTCCACTCGGGAGCGCTCTGCATTTATCTTCCAGAAAGAGGATTCCTCCTCCTTCCAGATGGACCCTAGGCCATCCATGCTTGATGTTTTGTTTCCCTGAGAGGATTTGGTGGCCTGGGCACCCTGAGGGACTTTGGACAGTTGCCTCGGTTCATTCTGGGTTGTGCCACTTGGCTCTTGGATGGACAAAGAGGCAATGCTGAAATCCATCTGACTCTAAGAAAAGAAACATGGAAAAGGAGAAAAACAAAAACAAAATACAATGAAACCTTGTCAGTAAGAACAACAGATTTATTAATCCACCATTCATGCCAAGCCCTCCCTCAATTTTTCCTTCACTGTCCTGGTCAATGTCTTCTCCATACCTTGTTCCTCTTAGCAAAATGATGAAGGTCTCCTATGGCAAAATGTTGTATACTTTGTCAGATAAAGTCACTGTATTGGGTGTTATAGCTCAACTATTTTTCTGTGTTATAAGGGAAGATTCAATTCCAGGGTAAGGGGGGGAATTTCCAGAGATGACTATGAAGATAGCCCATTAATAAAATTCATTTGAATAATCAGCATATTTACCCTCTGCATGGTCTTGCTCTACCACCTCCCCTGGTAGCTATTCCTAAGTCTGCCATAATGGATATGAGATGTATATTACAAGATAAGATTACTTTAAAAAAAAAGAAGCAAACATAACCAGTAATGAGCCCAGAAAACAGATAGTGAAATATATCTTGCTCTTCTCAGGAAAAAGGAGAGGGTCTAATAGGACAAACTATTGTCTATATTGTCAGACAAGGTCACTGCATTGGGTGTTTTAAATGTTTTTCTTTGTTACTAGGGAAGATTCAATTACAGGCTGAGGGAGGGGGTGGGGATTTCCAGAAATGACTATGATTTAAAAAAACAAAAAGCACCAATAAAACTTTAAAAGTCTATAATGATAAAAAGGGGTTACTGAGAAGCAACGGTCAACTTAGCAATGCTACCCAACCTCCAGGTATCTGTTTAGATAGCATCTCTGTCAAGACTGAAGACTGATGACACATGGCATTTATTTGGTTCAAAATTCTTGGTCTTCTGCAAACATGATATTCCCATCATCATCTCCTTCAATGGAAAAATCCCTGTGTGAACTCAGTTGCCTGGCTAAGTAGCAAATGTTTGTTTTAAATATCTGAAATAGCCAGGCTATTTCCTTGAATCCTTTTGGCCCCCTCATAGCACACGGAGCCTGTGACAGGAACAAGTATCTACCAGGGTCTGTCCCCACTTCCCTCCAATCTAAATTAGGCCAGATTTTCCCAAAAATGTGAAAAATCTGGGACCTGATGTGGTACTGGTGGTGGTGGGAAGAAGGGAGATGAAAATTGTGTGTCCCTTGAAGCAGCTCCCTAGTACCCTCTGGCTGCATTGACGTCTTGGTCACCTAAGACCACACAAAGGCCCACCCACACAGGAGCAGAGCCTTCAGACTCAGTAGATGTCTCAAGACAGTGAAAGACCACTCCCTGCCTTGCTGACCGGATGAGTAACTCCATGCTCTGCAGACCACATGTGTTTCCATAAAAGAGACAAGGGGGATTAGGTACCTGAGCTTAGAGCAAAGTGCTATTGCACCCTTTTTTATGTTATGCTAAGTAAGTCTCCTTTTGGTAACTGTTCAATGACCTACAAATGCTTCATTTCACCCAACATCAAATCTGAATCAACAGGGTACTGGACTGAGTCAAGCCTGCTCCTAACAGAGCCCCAGGTCTACCTAGAGGCACTGGTGAGTTCTGTAGCCTGTTCCTTACAGCAGGGGAGAGATTTATTGTGAAGACATCCCCCCTCCCCTAACCCCCACCCCCACAAGGGTGTGGCTAGCATAAAAACCCAGGACTCCCAACATCTAGTTCCCTGACCTCACCAAACAGTTCTTTTATTTAGACTCATCAGAGTCCAATGGCAAGACAAGAGTCGAGACAACTGGCGATGACCCAGGATGCAATATGTCTCTGAGTAGTGCAATCTACAAAATGATAATAATAATGATGATGATGATAATAGTAGTAGCAGCATTTATATCACACTTTAAAGTTTCCAAAGTACTTTCATTTATCCTTTACATCAAACGTAAAATTTATTGTGCTAGTATTACACCTCCTCCCACCACCATTTTATTGATGAGGAAACAAAGTGAGACAGATTTAAGTGACTTACCCAGAGCCACACAACTCATATCTGAGGCATGATTTGAACTCAGGTCTTCCTCCAAGTTCAACACTCTATCCACTGTAACACCTGGTTGCCCATTTACCCTAGCAACTACCTACAGGGAATGGGTTGTGTCTTAGTTCCTTGATGGCCACGACAACACACCACCATGTATAATGGGAGCTTTCAGAGATGGGTATATTACAAGTCTTGTGGAAGACGCTGCTGCCAACCTTTTAAGATAACCCTGCTAAATTTTTTTCTGATCAGTACGTCACCGATTGTTAAACTCAAGTCTTTTTTGGAGTGTCAATTCATTGGCATGCCTTTTTTTTTCCTCCCAAGTTTATGCCAAATAAGCTATTTCTGATATCAGCTTTTTTTTTTTTAATCACCATTTAAACAGATCAGGAAACATTTCCATTCTCTCTCTCTACCCTCCTGCTCATCAGCCACCATTCTCGCCTCTAATCGCTCCACCTCATTTGAGCTGGAAGGAGTGATTCAGGATCAGTGCGTGCCCCTTCACTCCTTCTATTTCCCAGCCCTACTCAGAGCAGAAAGCAGACTGCAGATGCAGAGAAGAGAATGACAAGAAGGTCTGCCCCACCACCGATGTGTTAAGAAAGGCAAACAATGGGGTTCTACTTGTTCCAGCTGGTTCCAAAACGAGTCACAAAGTGGAAGCTCTTTTCTCTTTCCCTTTGTCTCCATCTCCGCTCTGTCAGTTCTCAAGAAGGTGGCAAGGCAGTCCTACTGGGGCCAGAAGGGGTCTCATGCTTTGTAAAAGTTCAGAGCTGTCAATCTCTCTATCTTAGGGGTTTTCCATACATGCCTGCTTGGAGATCCCCACCTGGGGCTCAGGAGGTAAACTGAAGAGATCTGGGAGAGCTCAAGGGTTTAAACTTGGGTAATACAGAGCCAGACAATTCCAAAGCAAAGTCATCCCCATTCCTATAATAAGTAAAGTTTCAGAAGACAGCTTTATCTTCCACCATTTAGAGCTTCAAATCACAAGCTATACAGGTCCAAAGTGATAAGATCATCATAGATGTCACAGACATACGATTATCACAGATCTTGGGTTGGAAGGGGGCCTCAGAGAACATCCAGTCCAAGTTCCTCATTTTAGAGTAAAGGAAACTGAGGCTCTGGGAGGTTATTGTTTGCCCAAGGTCACACAGTTTTTAAGCATTACAACTGGGATTTGCACCCAAGCCACCAGACTCCAGGGTAGCTAAGTGGCACAGTGGATAGGGTGTAAGGCCTGGAGTCAGAAAGATTCATCTGTCTGAGTTCAAATCTGGCCTCATTCATTTACTAGCTATGTGACCCTGGGCAAGTCACTTAATCCTGTTTGCCTCAGTTTCCTCATCTGTAAAAATGAGATGGAGAAGGAAATGGCTAACCACTCCAGTATCTTTGCCAAGGAAACCCCAAATGGGATCACCAAGAGTCAGACATGACTGAATTACAACAGACAGGCCTCAGACTCCACAGCCAATGTCCTTTCCACCATATCATGCTGCAAACAAGTCACCTCACATTGGATGTGATGAAGCTTTAAATAGCATAGTGCTTTGCACATAGTAGGTACTCTATATTTATTTGATGTAATTTTTAAACAGGCTCTATTTGCTAAGTGAACTATCCTGTATGCCATGCATATTTAGAGCTACCACAATACTATTCAGGGACATTGTCAACACAGAAATGATGGTTTCTTTAAATAAGCATACTGGCTAAAAATAGCTCGGAAGTAGGGCCCCAAGATTTTTGGGAATGGGTTTGACTTTGATCTGGAAATTGTAATGCAGAGGAGGAACCCAAAACTGGATACTATATCAAGTTGGGGGGTGCTGCCTTTTTTGGACCAGCAGCTTACCCCAAATAGGAATCTTTCTTTAGATGCTTTTGCCAGGCAGGCAAGCATTCCAGAAAAAAACCTCTGACCTCAAAGTAAGTATTCCAGCTGATGGGGAAGGAAGGAAAGAGAGGGGAGGTAGGGAGAAAAGAGTGTCCCACTAGTACCAAATTAGGTCATCACCATGATACAGAAGCATTTAAGCAGTAGCTAATAATCTTACACTAAACTGTTTTGGTTCTTTTTCAAACACAACTATATGGACACAGACTTGGAGAATCCTAGCGAGCTAGAAGGCGACTTTTAATTCAACTGCCTCCCCTCATCCTCCGCATTTTTCAGATAGAGAAGCTGAGACTCAGAGGAAGTTAAGGAGTCCAAAGTCACAATTCTTGTCTTACTTTCTTGGAGAGCTGGGGTGGTGGGAGTCTCAGCACCAAGATCCCCAAAGGAAGAGGTCTGTTAGAGAGAAGTGGATGGATACAGAGAAGTAACTGTACAACAGAGGATAAAAAAAGGGGAAGGAAAGTAAATGGTTCTCTAAGGATATAGTTTTAAGAACATTAACTCTGCACCCCCCCCCAGAAGCAGAACTACATATGTAGGATGGAAGAGAAGAAAAAGAGTAAAGACAGACAGAAAGAGGAAATAGCTATCCTCAATCCAGCCTAAACATCCCCAGCCTCTGCCATAAAACTGCCCCTTGGCATGGTCTAAACCCTGGGGTCCTTTTCTATAATGTGAGTCATTCTAACCTCCTTGCAAAAACAAATATGAAGCAAGGACCACACCCTCATTTCACCAGTGGCTAGAAACTGACATGAAACAATGGAGGACATTTAATACGACTTCCCTGGTTTTTGTTCTCCTACTCATCACCGTCACTGTTCCAGGGCCAAGGGTGCTCTAAAGACTTCTACATTTTAGTCTCTCGGTTCTGCAAGTAGCATACCTCATTACCACTGACTCACCTCAAAGGAGCAAAACACCTCTAACACATGTGGTTAAGGAGCTCTGAGATCCATCCATTCCATTCTTGAGCTAGGAAGTATCACAAAATGATGGGAACCATCTAGCTGAGCAAATGGAATTGTTAGCATAAGGTACCCAAAAGACAGAAGGCACCCCCACTGCTATCCTGACACTAGTCTATGACTAC